CAATTTTGATCCATCGGCGTTGTTGCACGTTAAGATGACGAAAGTTGCAGGCAGAGCAGTTGGCTCCATTAAACACCAAACATTCAAGGCCATTTCGCTAGCAACAAACCACTATACAAAAAACACGTATGTCACTTGACAGCGGTTCTATAATCAATGGGTTCATTTCCACTTCTTCGTCAGCATCTCAGGGCACATAGGTTCCCATTTTGTGGTATTTAATTCTGTCAAGAGACCAATGACTTCAGGACTGGGTGGTTTCTTCCTGGTCTTGTGCCAGTTGGCCAATCAGGAGGGTCAATCATTTAAGCGAAGATGATTCCTTGCTAATTGTGGTTACTCGGTCAACGAGATGTATGTCGGAAATGGTTCCTTTCCATTCGTCATATGCAAATCAGCAGCGCTGGAATGCCGACGCATGGAAAGAGTTGACGCATCGGTGGATTTCATCAATCCAGCTCTTCTGCACTTGTTGCACAGATATTGAATGGGTAGCTGTACAAGTAACGAATGGGAAGAGATATCGGCACTAGAGACGGGACATAAATTTCTCCTTCTGATTGGTCACTTTGCGTAAAAGACGTTTACTAGCACTACGAAAGATGTGATTTGTTTGTCTGTAGTCCTCTTTGTTCATAAGTCGGTCTGTTCTTGAGTTGGCTCGGTAAACGTATGGTAAAATATGTATTGTTATGGCTGAGGAGAAGGAGGTACGTTGCTGTTTCATATAGATTATGCAAAAGAGGTCACGTCGACCTCTGTACAAATAAAAATATATTCTTCAACATTTTTCAATGTACTGGTTACCTTTAACGGCTGGCTTTTCTTGAAACGTAACAAGGAAAACCTAACATGTCACTTGCTTTGATCTGAGCACACAACTGCAATGAAAAGTGGGTCGTTGTTTCCATAAGACCGTATGCCTTTCCACACAGCTGAAGATGGGACAATAATCACCACGACAATCATATCAAGCGGGGCAGACTGCGCAGTTGACTATGGCTATAATTGTTCAATGCTGGAAAAAGCCACTTTAGGCAAGTTGAGGAAATTACTGGACAATTTTCCTTACTTAGTCAGTTTGATAGTGCCGTAGGCAATGCTGGCGTTGCTAAAAGGTTTGTGCCAATGAATCGGCCATGAGAGCACCAGGCTGGAAACGTGCTGGTAAGAAAAGTACTGGTAATGAACGTTGATTGACTGTAGCTCTCGAAAAACATGTAAAAATCAACCGTTCTGTTATTGAGGATGACTTTTGTCGTGTCTGTGTTTGGTGCTTGTAAATTATTTCGGAATAGAGGGAGTAAACTCGGAGGATCCGAAAAAGGTGCGTCTCATCCTCACATGCAGGCAAATCTTCGAGCAGCTGGTCGTATGAACCCTCACCACAGCAGACCTGCTCTGGAGGAGGGGGGGCAATAGATAGTGGAATTTCCTATTACACCTGCTTCTGGGAACGTTAAAGAGACGGTTAGGTAATGGAGGTTTGCTAATGGAAGATGTGCCTTGGTTTTGGAATGGCGCATCAGATTTATTCCAGGCATTGCTTTATCGCTAGAACTCATATTTCCGGTTGCCAGAGGGCTGTTTTCATAAGGTTCTTAAAGGACCTATGTAGTTTCCAACACGTTTGTCGGAAAGGAGCTGTTCTCAGAGAAAATGCTTTAGAACAGCTCTATGCTATGTTTTCTATCCTTATATTAAATCTGTTTGTCCTTGAGAATTTCTGAAAGATTTTTCATACGGTGATCTAGTGCTCAGAAATGTCTGTTGCTCATGACTAAATTATTCCAAAACTTGTTGGCGTGTCTCACTTATACAGACTGTCTCACAGACAGCATCAGTAGAACGTGTCAAGTAGATCCTAGTGATCCTTTTAAGTTTTCGATACGGGGCTGAAGCGGCATAAGCACCGGCCCCTTGCTTCTAGTGGCAAATGCTACCATTTGATCAGGTCACGGTTCCATGGCATTTGAGCACCTGCAGTGCATGGATGCAGAACCGCATCATCACGACAGGGCCGAACAAGAACTTGTTCAGACACCTGCAAATATACCACAATCCGTAGGCATATATAGATCTTAGTGAAGTTATAAAATTGCAAGTTAACCATGCGGCCTCATCAATCAATTTCTGCCCTTTCCGAGTCAGTGAGGGGACGCCCAAAGTTCTGACCGTGACCTCCCACTGCTGGTATCGTTCCCGTGGAACTTTACCTCATCTGGCATGCTGTAGGTGATCGCGCTGTCTCTCTCCTCCGTTCAGAACGAATAGTACTGCATGAACTGCCAGAAGACGTGAAGCATGCTCTGATTGCCGAAACTTTCACAGACAGCTTCCCAATAACCTGCGAGACCCTTCGTAACTTCCAAGATGAGTGAAATGGTACACCTTCCGACACTACGGACATTTGGCGGAGGAGGTGGCCAAATTTTACGGGATGCCGCCACGGTCACCAATCCTCCTTCTTTCTCAACAAAGCTGAGCACCAGCCGCAGCTGAGTCATGTCACTGCACGCAGATCCAACCTCATAAGTCCAAGTCGTGCGAGCGAGCAATGATCAAAGTAAGTGATCATTCACCGGTATTAACCAACGGTGAGGCTTAGTTCTTATAACCGGTATGATAGCCGTCGGAACTTGTCGTGAACTTATGAACGGCTGGCTATCATGGCAGTGAGCTCGCTTTGCCTTTAAAACCAGTTCTGTCTATAAGAAAGACATTCGGACCTGTGTATAAGCCTGGGAGGCAGGATTAACGATTAACAGTCGTGACTTTCCCTTCATCACGAAAAAAAGCAAAATAACACCAGAAAAGAATCATGCATCGTCTTAATAATAACTGGTTATACAGAAAAAGAAAAACTTTTTTATGCACCCACGTTATCCATCTTTGTCCATGCCGGATGCTGGATTTGCGTCTTGCCAGTGACATCAGGCAGACATAGAAAGAAGCCCAGTTTCAACTGAATGTAAACACCCAACGTAGCTCAGTGGCAAAGTGGACAATGTTGCAAAATCTGCTGTGTTAAAAGTACTGTAGGGTAGCACTATTACTCTAACTCTGTCAAGGAAAAAATATCAGTACATATGTTTGAACAACATACTTAATAAGAATAGCTTGATTGAATCTTAATTATATTTCTTCAAGCAGAACAAAAGTTATTAGCATAAACAAGTGTCATCCGTCACAGTCAGGTTCTCTTTGTGTGCTGTATTTGTTATTCACTGGTCTGCAGCTGCTGGACTACCTTCAGTGCTGGATTTTGACTCTTGGGTACTCGTCTGGTTTTCGTCCTTGGGTCCAGAGGGCAAGGACTCCAAGCTGGAAGACTGAGGGGTGGTGCTGGACTTCATCGACTCATCGACGCTATGTTGACTGCATGAAATCTGTGACAGGTCTTTATCAGATTCGCTGAAACTTGGCGGTCCTGGGTAATTCCATACTTCTGTCTTCTGCTTCCTGAATAATCAATCACGTGTAGAAAATTGCATAAGGAATGAGATGGTTAGAAGAATTGAAAAATATATTTCATGAAATTATAAGCTTACTTAATTGAAAGGAGTCACGATAAACCCCAATTTTCAGCATAATCAAAGCGGAATAAGCGAATTAGCAGCATCGAATGAATAGGTAATAAATAAAATAAACACGCAGTGACTGAAACACATTGGGAACACATCACAGAGTAGATCACAGACGACCGAATATAAAGTAAAACAGTATTGTACTGCTTTACAATGAGCATAACCAAATGATGCGCTGACGGGCATCCTCCAGGTCTCTGAAGGTTGGCCCTGAAGCTGGGACAATGATTCATTGGAACCGTTCGATACGGGAAAATATACTGAAATAGAATCACCCGGTGGACGTGCTTCGTGAATGAGAGGACAAAGCTGTAAAGTAATGAATAAATTGGATTATTAGGTTCTTCTCTGCCATCTGTACACTGTGGGCTGCGAACATCGCAAGATCTTTGAATGGCAAGCCTCGAAGCAGAATTTATTGAGCTCTTGATGATCTTCAGATTTCACACATGCAATCCGGAAGTTACCCCAGCAGCAGCATAATCATGGAGAAAAAGGATACATGCAAAGAAGTCTTCAGCTACCTCAACTGAAATCCGCTAAGACTTTCGGCGTAGCAGGGTCTTGCTACTGATTGGATATGCTCATTTCAAGTGTGGTCGGATAATAGAATCACGCTCAAACACCTAATGTGCTATGCCTGGAACATCGGCTTACTAGCAATATCCAGCACCTCAGTGGCAAACGGAAGGAGTGCCTTCTTCACCTCAAGGGGTTTTGAATGATGCTAATATTATGGCACCAGTAAATGTATTTATGGGTTGCGTTATCTTCATATATCAAATATATTTTTCGAGGCTTCTAACCGCTTCTTTTTCGTATATTATCATTGAGAATCTATTTATGTCTTTTCGAACGAAATGCTTGTTGCAACAAGCATGCTAGCACTAGGACGAAGGTGCACTTTGCTGAAACACTGATAGTGATTGTCAGACTTAGCTTATGGCGGCACAATTATATGCCCCCACAATTATATGCAAAACTGAGTTATCAGGTGATAAACAACCACTGTTCTTCCATTTTCACAAGCTTTTCAAGGTAAAGCTGATAGCTCCAGTTGATGCTAACCATCTCCATATATCTCTGCAGTGTTCACCACAGCTTTGACTTGGCCATCGGTTGCCAGTCATTTTTAGGCCTACGACATGGGATAGAGAAACAACCTCTTTGTTTAATATAATAGGTCAAAAGTCATTTTGACGACTTCAGTTGGACGTGCATTCGTATCTAAATGGATCAATAGTAAAAAGCACTTACTTGCTTTGGATAAAGTTTCGATGATTTCTCACTGTTTTGGTCACGAGTTTGACAGCCAAGAGCGAAAGGAGCATAATTATTGCGCCACCCAGAATGCCATATATAAAAACATCCACTTTATCCGGCGAGTTATCGGAGGATAACTTCTTTTTCTCCAATTCTTTCAATTCGTTGCGGAGTCTATGCGGGTCGTCGTGCGGCATCTCTTCGTCTGGTACGTCCAACGGGAAATCCGTGGGTGGTTCCTTAAGGGACCCGTCGGTCGACCCGTCTTGCTCGATCGTAGGAGGTGAACGAAGCGTTGATGAGTTAGAACGAAACAGTCGTCGCCAAAACGAGTAGTTCTTCGGCTGTTCGTCTCGATCCTGCAAACCTGCTTCGAAACCCGCTGTCGCTGATCTTTTATTGCTTCTCGCATGATCCCTCCGAGCAGGATTGATATTAATATGCGTCAGTCTCGGACTCCTTTTTGATGGGTTCAATTTAAAAGGCACTTCAAACCGTCGTATGTGCCAGAGACCTTGGCTCAGAGAAAATGAAGCCGCTGTAGCATGCGATATGCTTTTTCCCATAACGACTTCCTTACCATCCAGAAGATGTGACGTAGAGGAGGAGGAGGAGTTCTCTGTGACGAGTCGCGTTGAAATTTCATCCCTGTTATCGACAACTACCTTACGCTCCAAAATCATTGTATTGGTGTTTGCCAAACACCAGGCAGCCACAATCACTGCTGTTATGATACACATTCCTCTTCACATTTTGAACATAGCGAAGCCCAGCAGATTCATATCAAAAGATGTGTAAAGCCTGTTCGATCCTGACGTACGTACACAATCTGCTGCACAACACCAGTTTTAACTTTTACTGCATTTGTAGTTTAAAACTCATAAAGATCATGTTAAACCCATGCTAGTGGTTACAAATTCTTAATCCTTCGTATGACTAATTCTTGTTGTGGGAGCGCACGAACTCAGATTGATGCTCCTCCAATTTTCCCTCTTCTTGAGCCTTTCTTGGCGAGTGATCGTTTGGCAGTTTTTCATTCGAGGTGTCAACCATCGCCGCTGCCTACGAATCCCAATCTCCTTCATCCGGCCTAAACGGATTTAAGGAACTGAAGAACTTTTGGAAATTTATGTCAATGTGCAAGACGTAACTGACGAATTGAGGGTAACCATCGTCTCGGTCTACCCAGCGGGCTCTCGCATCACTTTCAGCGCTGACTTTGACAGGAGGACTAACACCAGAGCAAATTAATACCCTGATATTATTCACTTTCATATAGGGTCAAAATGTCATGCGCTCTTCAAAGACAAACTCGATTGACAATTTCAGTTTGCTCCTCTGGATAAATGCAAATGGCAGTTTTAATTTCTTCATGAGTTTAGAAAGCAACGACACGATTTTAAACTAACTTGAAATTTCATCTTCATCTTCCATCGCCGCCTCTCCTTTCGGGTTGTCCCAAGATGAAAACTCCGCCATGGCCGGTCCCAAGCCCGGATGAGAAAGGAGGAAGGTTGGAGACCGTGGCAAGTCTCCGT